TCCCGCGCGAGTAGGGCAACTCTCGTTGGCATTGCTCGAGACCGCAATAACTTCTGGCTACTTGCTTGGATTTTTCCGAGGATACTGCGCAAATGTGCATATACATGGCAGGGGAAAAATGGTTTTTTTGTCCTTTCGGAAAAAGAACTTATTCTTCTTGCGGAAGAAAAGGGAAAAAGGAAGGAAAGAAAAAAGTAGGAAAGGAAAAAGGAGGGAAAGTCAACGAAAAGATTATTAAAGGACGTAGGACAAACTCGCCATTAAGTTTATTTGCCGTAATTGGAGGAGTTTTAACTCGTCAAACCAAATACCGGTTATGACTGCCATAAACCTACCCACAATCACTTAGAGCGTCGGGATACACTTTTTCCTCTCTATTTATTTCATGTGGCGCAAGGACTATATGCCCTAGGTATTATAAGAAACGTCACTGACCCTATTTTAAAGATGGGTTTTTAAGGAAAAAGAAAACAGTAAATAAATAGGTCCATTCGTCTGGAGGAAAAATATGTACGTGATTCTTTTTTTCCTGACTAATGTTGCAGTGAGATTCTCTCTCGATGCTTGCACTTGATTTCCCTTTCGCTCTTTACAAAATACGATATTGTTTTCTCGCTTTACTGCGCTCTTATCCTTCCTACCACCTCCTTATCTCTTGTTAAGTAGTGCAATTTTCATTCCTTTTCTCGGTTTTGCCTTCAGGTTTAAAAATTCCCTTTTATTCCTCGGATATAAATACTTTCCCGCAATTATTGTCTAAATAAATATTGCCAACAGCTATTGCCTTATTTTTGTAATATGTTAAATCCGAAAAAAGTTGGTGTACCCTCAAGTATACAATTGTTTCCTTTCGGTTGGGGAATTTTTAATCTTTTGAAACTTTAATCTTTAGAAACTAAACTTCAATCTCTTGATAATTAAACCTTAATATTTGAAATGAATCTTGAAATCTTTTGGATACTAAACTTCGAGCTCTTGATAATTAAACTTTAATGTTTGAGAACCAAATTTTAATCTTTGAAAACCAAATTATTAATCTTTTAAGAATTAAACAATAAACTTTTGTCAACTATGAACTTTATTCATTTGAAAACTAAACTTCATTCTTTTGATATCATTTAGCGATCCAAGCTGCCTCTAGTTAAGGAAATCAAGATAATAAAATTGTTGTGATTATAACTCTACACATATTACACTTGAGAGATACGGATAAACAAAAAGTTGAGTGAAAATGCGTAAAACATCTCCTGGAGATAAAACGTAAAATTGTATATCAAAAAATAAGAAACAAAATATTTTTTTCGACTTACACTTCATATAAGTCTGGGAATAACAGAGGAATGCATTTTTAACACAGAATACTGATAAAAATGTATATAGTCCGATTAGCCATCAATCACATTCGACTGATAACTTTTCTGATATCGCACCTTATAAAAGCATCGCCTGTTAAAAATAACAAATTTTTACCCTCCCCAATGTTTGTCATCATATCCGTTATTCGTTTCCTTATGGATTAGCAAATCACTTCTTCAAGTTCTGTATATATTCGAAAAAGAAATTCTTATCTTTAAAATGCATCGCTTTGAATGATATTTGTACAATTGAAAGTGTACGCAGTTTGAAACACCGGATCCGGCGCCGGTCGAGGTTCAGTCTTTTTTTTTGAATCACCTTTGATAAACGATTATCCCTTTTACACAAAACCATTTTTGTCCCTGATAAGGTTATTGAGACAGTTTCTAAAATAAAAAATTGAATTATAATTTGGAAATTATAAATCGAGGTTATTTTTTAAAACCTTTGGAACTGTTTAAATTAAATATTCAATTTTTATTTTATCTAAAATGGTTAAATTAAATAACATGAAATTAAATTAATTAATTAAATAACATATGAATAATGAGCATGGAAAATTATTACTAATTCTTTTTAGAGAAAAGAATTTACCCTTTTTTCTTTTCGTCATTAAAAAACAATCTCTACTGTATAAAAATACAGGGGGACAATGTTTGTACCTTCAGGCATTGTCTCGAGTCGTTCTCTGTTATTTCCGTTGTTGTGAATGTGAAACGCGAATTGCGTCTGTCACTCTGTACATTGAATTACAAACAAGTGAAATAAGTATCGTCGTTTGTTTTCATTGTTAACAATCGACTTGAAAGAGGATTGTTTTTAAACATCCCTTTTAGACGAGAAAAAAAAGTTGGCACATACGCTGCTCACGTGAATTAGATATTATGTTAAATTTTTACCGTGTAAATAATAAATCAAATAGGTGTTTTCAGAGATTTTCTTGTCCTAAATAAGCATAACATTTTTGTCTTTAAAGTGCCTATTATTTTTTTTTCAAACGTATCTCTCCAAAATGATAATGTTTGCCTGGCGTTTTCTCGTGTGGAATTCCAGTGAACTTGAGAGAGGAGTAAATTATTAGAATGTTGTATAATTTTTTGTCTATATGTGCAGTGCAAGCATTTTATCTGACAGTGTAAACAATTTTTTTCTCAAAAGCGGAAAGGGAATAATTTTTGTTCGCAACAGGAAATTGTCACCTGTTTGGTAGCAAATCGGCACTTAGTTTATGCATCCACAATACATGTAACATTCCAGATTAAATACAGTTCATTGGACTGCAACAACGCGTCAGTACTTTTATTCTAAGAACGTTGTCTACACCCCGGTACTTGTAATCTGTGGTCATTCGCCTCAAATTTCCATTGTTTCGTCTGAATTTGACCAGCAGGAATTTCAAAAGTACCCTCAAAATATCGAATTTCCCGATAAAAGATTTTTTTCCTTGTATGATTAAACAAACATTTGCACAATAGCTCGAAATTTGCCCATAAAGATTTATTTGATCCACATCCTACTTTTTTTTTCTTTCTTTTTTTTTTGAAGACTGTCAATATTTGAACGAGCTGATGAAAAATGTAAATTCACTCTTTAACTAATTCACCTTCCGACATATGTGTCATATTTCCATAAATTTACTTTTTACAAAAGGCGAGTTTAAAGACGTTGTGTTATAGACATTAATGTTCTTTGAATGGGAATTTTTTTTTTTTTTTTTTTAAAGAAATTGGCGCCCCTTTTGATGGATAAACAAACAAACGAGGCGCGGTATAAGATTCGGTCAAACTCCTTTTAGTCACTGCTCAAATTGCAGTATGAACAACGACGAAATAAAAGAGAGAGAAAAAAAAAAGATTTCCAAAACGTTTACTCTCGAACGTATGCGAAATGAAGGGTAAACATCGATGAAAGCAATGTGAACGAAGTACGAATGGACGCTGTTTAAATACTCGGGATAAATGTATGAACAAGTATGTGTGTATATGTATAAATGACTCGTATGGAATGTGGCCAACGCGACGTTACTCGAATGTTCCAGCGGGCTTCACAGGTGCTGGAAGTAAGGCTGAGAAGAAGCGACGGAAGTCAAATCGATCGCTTTCAACCGATACTTCCCTGCCGATCAAATTTCGAAAAGAATTCTCCTTCCCTCTCCTTTGAAAAAGCAAATTTTTTCAGAAGAAAAAATTGAGATAGGTACTTTTTTTTGTTTGAAACAAATTTTTGAGAAAGAAAAAAGTTGAGATGCTTTTTTTGTTTATAGAAGCAGGTTTTTTTTTTTTTTTTTTTCTTAAGAGGAAAAAAATTGTTTGAATCAACATCGAACGATACCAATTATATTTTACGACCCACATAAATCAAGGTTTTGAAAATAAAAAGTATTGCAAACATTTCAAAATTCACTTGCGCGTATATAGAATAATGAGGAATGGGAAGGCACAAATCATTGGGAGTCGTTTTTTTTAAAAGGCAGACACTTGACACGCGTTCATTAACTGATTTAAATCAAATTTACTGTAACGACAGGTAATAACAGTCAACAGTGGTAATTAATTTCAAGATCGTTTAAATTATTAATGATTTAAAAGTCCTTAATCATTAAAGAGCCTTTCAAAACAGTACATATTTTTTTGCCTTTTGGAATTTTTTTGCCTCTTTTCTGATATTTAAAATTTGGAAGAGAATAAATTCTTTTTTTTTTTTAGAGGCAAACGCAATTTTTTTTATGGATAAATTTACGATGAGATATAAAATATATGTTTTCAACTATTTTCTACTACTTGGTGAGAAACCGTAGGTACATATTACGTATATACAAAATCAACAAACTTGATAATCGTATCGTAATCTTTGTGTGACAAGATATTTCAAGCATATAAGTTTACTCACGCGTGCAACAATGTTAAAGTTGAATAAACGGTTTTCGCTAAATAGCATACTTGTATGTTTGAGGAAAAATTTTATTTTTTCCAATAACAACTATTTTTCCTGGTCATATAATTTTTAAGTGCGGTTTTAATGTTACATTGAAAGCAAATGCAACTTTAGAAATTTAGCAATTTATAGAGTATCTATAATTTTAATGCGACATTTCGAAAAATCTGAAATGGTGGTTTATTGCAAATCGGGAAAAAATTGGGTTGCATAAGATCATTTTGCAAAATGAAAATCTTTTATGTTAAGGATCTTCCTATGCTGAATTAACATTATAGAGTTACTTGGTACAGATTATTTTAATCTATTTTGGTGTTAAAATCATACAGCACAATTTTTTGAGTATGCAATAAGCACTTGAAGTATTTACAGCAGGAAATCTGTTGCTACAACTTTTCAAAATTGTTCAGATAACGAAAAGTTTGTTTTAACAACAAGACTGCAAAAAGTGGTATCTTAAAATACATTGTAGTCACTTTAGGATGAAATGTTGCATCTTAATTTAAGACTTCATTTCGGCTTTAAAATAAGACTTTTTTTTAGAGTAAAACAAATGTTATGTAGATCTGAAAGCAATAGTCCTTCTCAATTAAGAATGACAGCAACAGTTCAGATTCAGTACCAGAGTTATTTTTGCACCAACACCAAAAAATAGGAGAAATAAAAATATTGGGAGACATCATTTTGTAGAGAAGAAAAAGCGTATTCACCTGGGTCATGAGACGATCGGCTCCAGTGCCCTCCTCATCCTTGAAGATAATGTCGGTGTTATAGTTTGGCACTAAATCCCGAAACCTGGAATCGTGTCTAGACACGCGACCTTCGCTGAGCCCACTTGCCGGAAGGGTGTTCTCACTGACATTGGGCACATGTTGCTTAAAAACAAGGGGCGTGAGTTTGCGAAGGGTTGGCCTGCGACCTCCACCCCTGCCGGGACCGCAGGCCAGGACAAGATTATTGCCCGGACTCGGTATCCCGAGGATGACGAGCACAAGCACAATTCTCAGATAACGCGGAAACTGCAGCCTGGAGCCACTCACCTGGTGCAAGTACGCCGGCCTTGCTACCAGGACACGATTACACACCATAATCACGGACCTCGTGGTACCGCGCGGTGGCTGCACTCTGCACTACGTTAAGGGTCGTGAATGATGATGACGACGACGCCGCTGATGATGCTACCAGCTTCTTATTCTTTCGCCAATCGCGGTCCGTCGACCACCTCCTCCTCTTGCCACTGACCTCACTCACGCCTAACCATAACCAGGGCATCACACCCTTGCGCACTCTGACCTTCCCAACTTCGTAATTTCAAGCCACCCCCAATTTCACCCCCTAATCCACAATTTTCACTTCTCACTCAAATTTCCCTTTTTTTTTAAACATCCAAACTTTTACCTATCTCTTAATCCTTCACCCCCTGGCGTTGTGTCTACATTTCTCACATCACTCTATTAAATCACAAAAAAAACATCTCTTTATTAGCAAGAAAGACTGCTAACTGTAATCCAAAAAATTGCTCCTGAAAAAGCAGAGAAATCACTACCGATCGCGTTCACAAAACACAATTTCGATGAAAGAGTTTTGTAAATTTTTTTTTTTTTATGAGCGAAAAAATTAATTTCGGGAACGTTTTCCCGCAACGACCCAGTGGTGGGAAATGCGAGGATGGTTTTGGTGTTCCTTTGGCTGAGCAGAACAGTTCGGACCGGGTGCCCCTTTCTGCCACCACTACTTCCACCCCCACCCCCGCCTCTTTTGTGTACCAACGTGGTCCGCAACTCCTGGTACTTTAACCCCCCACCATGGGAGCTTGGTGCCCAACAACTACGTCACAAATCGGTCGACTGGCTATTGGTCGGGGCGGGGCGAACCAGGTAAACGAGGACAGGTGTATAAGAGGAAACAGGCAACAACTTCTAGCTTTCTCCTCGTTCAATTTATTTCATCTCCTTCTTTTTCTCTCCCTCTTTACTGTGTACCCTCTTCACTCACTTTTTTCCTGTTTCTCTCTCTCTCTCTCTCTCTTTCTCCCCCCTCCCTCCTCTCTTGCTCTATTGCTATTTTATTCTTTCTCACTTTGCTATTCTACTCTTTCTCTCTCTCTCTCTTGTTGTTTTATTCTTTTTGTCTCTTGCTATTTTATTCTGTCTCTCTTTTGCTATTTTATTTTTTCTCTCTCTTGCTATTTTACTCTGTGTTTCTTTTGCTATTTTATTATTTCTCTCTCTTGATATTTTACTCTCTCTCTCTCTCTCTCTCTCTCTCTCTCTCTCTCTCTCTCTCTCTCTCTCTCTCTCTCTCTCTCTCTCTCTCTCTCTCTCTCTCTCTCTGTTTTACTCTGTTTCTCTTTTGCTATTTGCTTCTTTCTCTCTCTTGCTATTTTACTTTGTGATTTTTTTGCTATTTTACTCTGTGTTTCTTTTGGTATTTTATTTTTTTCTCTCTCTTGCTATTTTACTCTGTGTCTTTTTTGGTATTTTATTCAATCTCTCTCTTGATGTTTTACTCTGTTTCTCTTTTGCTCTTTTCTTTTTTCTCTTTCTTGCTATTTTACTCTTTTCCTCTCTTGCAATTTTACACTGAAAAAAATTTATTTGATTCAAATAATCGATTACTTGTCTATTATCAAATAAATATTTACTTGAATCGAATAATTTTTATTTGATTCAACTAAATTGTATATTTGAATCAATAATTTCAGTATTTGAAGCAAATACAATTTAACAGACCCAAATAAAAATTATTTGATTCAATAAAAATTCTTCGAAATCAATAAAAATTATTTGATTCAATAAAAATTCTTTGAAATCAATAACAATTATTTGATTCAATAAAAATTATTTTGAAATCAAATAAATTTTTTTTAGTGTATAACTGCCTGATTATAATAATCTGAATTTAAATTTCCATGATTTTCTGATCCCTATATATTAAAATGTTTATTGCAAAATGCTTATCGAAATCTTTCTTTAAAAAGAAATTATTGTTTACTCCAAAAGTTAAATTTGGTGAAAATGTAATAATTATCAAACTACTTACGAACAATTATAAAAAATGATTTTTTTATAGGTTATATACCTTCAGAGCTGAAATTTTAAAATAAATTTTTTTTATTTTTTGTTTTTTCTTCTTTTTCTATTTGTTTTGAAAAAAAGTTTATTTTTAAAAATTTTAAACAAAACTTAAAGAATTTAATTTTGATATTAATTTAATGTGATTAATATTTTTGAATTTCTGAAAACTTTCGTAAAATATAACAAATTTTAACTAAAATGAAAGTTTTTCAGCTCCAAAAAAATATGTTTTTAAGAAAGCTTTTTTAAGTTAAAATAATGTCTTTAAAGTTTTGAAAGAAATTTATTTATTATTCTTGTTTAAATTTAATTTTATTAAATTTTCATAATAAATAGTAATTTCTACAAATTTCCACTAATTTTACTGACTTTTTGCTTTCGAATTAGTAAATTTTACTAATAAATAGTAATTTCTACAAATTTATTAGTAAAATTTACTAATTTCTACTAATCCTTATACTAATTTTACTGACTTTTTGCTTTTGAGTTAGTAAATTTTATTAATAAATGACTATTTATTAGTAAAATTTACAAAAATTACCAGTAAATTTTACTAATAAAATAATTATTAATTAAATTAATTATTAGTAAAATTTACAAAAATTATTAGTAAATTTTACTAATAAATTTGCAGAAATTATTATTTATTAGTAAAATTTACTAATTCAAAAGCAAAAAGTCAGTAAAATTAGTATATGAATTAATATTATTAATTAATTATTAATTTGTAGAACTTACTATTTCAGGGTGTCTAACGGTCAGGGAAGTCAGGGAAAAGTCAGGGAATGTCAGAAAATTTCATTGAAAGTCAGGGACATTTCTAAAAATTTATACAAAAATTAAAATTTTTTGTGAATAAAAAATTTTTTTAACCTAACAAAACTTAGAAGGTTGTTATCACCGTTTTTTTCTATCATTAGATATTAATTTATTGTTAAATATTTCAGTTACCATATTTTTGTCTCAAGAAAGCAAAAATAAAATTAGTAATAGGTCAGAGAAAAAGTCGGGGAAAAGTCAGGCAATCTTATTCTCAATCCTTGTTAGACACCCTGTATTTGTTAGTAAAATTTACTAATTCAAAAGCAAAAAGTCAGTAAAATTAGTATAGGAATTAGTAGAAATTAGTAAATTTTACTAATAAATTTAGTTAGTAAAATTAGTAGAAATTAGAGTTAAATAAAGGGAGTTAAAAAAAAGAATTGAACTTATATACCATCATATTGTTTTTAAGAAATATAGTTATATTATTTATTATCCTTTCTTAAAAAATACAATTATAAAAACACTGAATTACGACAGATGATCATCAGAATTTAACCCAGAAATTATACTTAGCGATTTTCATTCTTTTCTTTTAACTTATAGCATATAGAAAAATGCCGATCACTAATTTTATTCACTTTTTGAGTTGATCTTTAACTCAAATACTAAATCGAGTTCCGTTAAAGATTTTCTCTTTAAGAATATTTTATTTTTCCTAATTTTTAATTTGTCTTGTTTTTATTTCACACTTTTTGAATATTATTATTGATTTTTATTTCCCACGATTAGCGTGAATGTTAAAACCAAAAGAGCAATAATAAATAAATAATTATGTACATTATTTGCTCTTTGGAAATATGGAAGTCGAGTGATAAATTCATATATTATGACTGCCGATATACTCGACAAATGCATTATCAGGTATTCATAGATTAGTGATAAGCGACTTCACGATTTGATAAGAAATTACAAAGAAGAGGAAAAGATAGAAAATTGTTTTTTGTATACGATTTTTCTAAATTTTATTTGTAATTTACTTGAGACACACATTAAATTATGAATTTAGCACGTAAAAAATTCTTTCTTAAAAAGAAATTAAAATGTACACTGAGAAAACGATTTATTTGCGATTCAAACATATTTTGTTTAAATCAAGCTTAAAATATCTTTGCTATATATACAGTAAAAAATATTTAAGTTTAATTGAAACATATTTTTTGATTCATTTAAAAAAGTAATGTAGGATTTAATTTAAACATAACTTATGGTTGTTTTTAAATTATTTATAATCAACTTTTAAGTTTGAATCAAACATAAAATTTTTAAACATAATTTTTGTTTAAGTCATAACAGAAAATATGTTTAAATTATACATAAAATTATTCAAACAAATAATATTTTTGAATCAAAGCAGTAGATATTTTCTATATATTGGGATTAAGCTTACAAACTAATTTTAATTAAACAAAATCACTTAAAATTATTTTTCTTTGTAAATTAAGTATAATGCTTTCTAAGTGTAATAAAGAAAAGAAAAAAAGAAAGAAAACACAGAGAAGAAAAAAACAGATAAAAAGAAAAAACAGAAGAGAAAAAGAGGAGATAGAGAAGAAGAAACAGAGATGAAGAAAAAATAACAGATAGAGAAGAAAAAACAGAGATGAAGAAAAAAGTACAGATAGAGAAGAAAAAAATAGAGAAGAATAGAAGAGAGGAAAAGAAAGAAGAGGAAAAAGAGGAAGAAGAGGAAAGAAAAGAATGGAAATGAAGAAAAAGAAAAGAGAGAAAAAATAGAAAAGAAGAAAAAAAAGAGAAAAATATAGAAAAGAAGAAAAAGAAAAGAGAAAAAAATAGAAAAGAAAGGAGACAAAAAATTGAAAAGAGAGAAAAAATGATTGAAAGGAAAGGTCAAATTGTTGAAACAAAGACTCTTCTTTGTTAATGAGTACTAGACAACCGAATATATTCATATGTATGAATCAATAGTCAAAGAAAGTCGCACCTTCACCATTCACGGAGAAGCACACACCCACTGGGACTTCGTATAAGAAACGGAATCTATGCGTGATTCATCGAACAGAAGGAAGTGACGTAGGTGTCGAGCGCAAAAGTGCAAAAATGCACATAGATAAGTTTCCATTTTTCCATTTTTTATTCTTTCCTAAAGTGATAAATTATACACTAAACCAACATATGATTATCCTGTCCTAACGTACTATTTCTGCACACAGCTTTTTTTCATTATAGTATACTTTTTGAAATAAGTATATATATTTTGTAAAAGTGTTTCTACACCAAGAAACATATTTAAACTAAATAAATAAGTGTCTTGGTGTTCATATAGAAGTGAATCTACTAATAATGAATTACTTTTTCCAAAGTCTATGCGTGACTATAACACTAACTGGTCATTTTTTTCTTCTTTGACTATTTGAAGTTTAAAATATACGAATAAGAATAAATACTCCCGAGAAGTTTGACATGCGCTCGGTTATGTCATAGCAGCAACAGGAAATGAAACGATAACTTTTCCTTTATTGCTGTTTAAAGTCTACCTTCTCCTGTTAAACAAATCATAAATAAGTCACGCGCTCTGAGTAGATTGAATTCAGAGGGTTAAATTATAGACAAGCAATTCACTTTAGCGAGCTTTAGAGAATTTATGTACCTGAAAATTAAACACAAAGTTTACGTCAATGTTTATATTGGCACTGCTTTTTTGCAAGGTTGCACGAAGCAAAAGTTATATTTATTTTTTTCCCTGACTATAAATTATTTATTAATTACCATTTGTATCAAAAGTCAATTGTATACTTCTGTATTTTTTATTATTTTCTAATTCTCAATTTATTATCAGAATTTTTCTGAGGATATGAAATTGAGACAAAAAAGGAATCAAAATTGTTGCGATGCAACAATTTTGATTCCTTTTTGTCTCAATTTCATATCCTCAGAAAAACTGTGATATAGTTTTGATTGGATGTTTTCAATTTTCTGTTTTTATTTTTTTGTGTGTTAATTCTTCTCGTTCATTAACAACAACATTCATTGTTCTTAATTTATATATTCATTGTTGTTTATTGTTGCAAAGAATTTATACCAAAAATGTGGATCAAACAAAAAATTGATCCAAAATTTTTGGCACCAATTTGATCCGCTTAGTATCAATTTGATACTTTCAAAAAAACGGTGTTG